ACAGCAGAGGCAGGGCCCCCAGAACCCGAGCTGGAGACCACCAAGGCCCCAGCTCCACCGCCGGCTTCCGCACCGGAGGGCGGAACCCAGGTGGCCCCAGCACAGGGCCCCAGACGATCGGCAAGGGTGCGACAGCCCCCAGCGTACCTGAAAGACTATGCCACCTAGGAGTGGTTCCGGACTATGGGGGGAGGGGTGTTGTGTCCACTGACCGCCACCGGAGGTCAGGGCATATACCCGAGCTTCAGTCTGGGAAGACAATGGGGACTAGGATTCTAGTCCCACCACTGGGGAACCAATGGGAGCCATGGCGGGAGATTCAAACCCACCAATGGTGACCAAGGGGAGGTCCCCAGGTGTGTATATAGTTGGCCTGCCGGCCGTTTGTCTTTGTCTTGTTGTGTGCCTAATAAAGCGTGCTATGCACCACGTCGTTGTCTGTCGTCGATCCATGCGGCTCCCACTACACAATAGTCTGACTGCTGGGTGCTGCCTGCTTGCCTGCCTTAAGCGCTGCCGGCTGGGTTTCCCCATTGGAAACAATGGAGGTAATGGGGGTAACCTGTTTGGGTGCTCATAGAATTGAGCCCACTGGTTCAATTGCTCCAGAAGCTACCCTGAAAATTTGGAGCCTCTCCCTCAAACGTCCTCTCCCCCTGAGCCACTAACAGCACAGTGGAGGAAAAGTAACTTTTTCCCCACCATAGAGAAGAATGGAGGGGATGGGGGCAGCCTGTTTGGGGGCCCGTATAATTGGACCCCCTAGTCCAATGTTCTTGAAACTTGGTGGGTATCTTGGGGAGAGGCTCCCGCAGCTACCCTGTGAGCTTGGAGCCTCTCCCTCAAACCCCTCCAGCCCCCAGAATATACCCTATGTTTTTGCCATTGACTTCAATGACCCATAGGATATAATGGGGCTGAAATTGACATTCAGCTGGCCAAAAGAATCGGTTGGTACTGACAAAACTGACATGCCGGAGTCTTACTGCTGGCCGAAATGGATTCTGCCTGATTTGGCCGAATCCGAATCGGCCGAATGTTCTTTTTTCTTTTTTGCACACCCCGAACCCTGCTCTCCTCAGACTCCACCCCTTGCCCCAAATCTCCAGGAATTTCTCAACCTGAGTCCAGCAACTTTATCCCTCGTATTCGTGCCAGAAACAAGCCCAATTCTTTCGTGGTTTTGTGGCAACCAAACGGGACACACTACCAGTACTGCTGCACCAAACCCAACCCCCAAAGCTTACCAAAGAGAGCTTTCATACGCATCCTCTCTGACTGGGTAATGCGGATGCAGGCCTCAGACATCGTATCATTGAAGATCTGCGGAAGAAATCCATCACGTCAGATGGAAGCACCTTGGGGAAGAGTTATCAATGCCTATTTGTTTATTTTATTTAACTCCTTTATACCTTGGTCTTTCTCCCCAAGGGGGACCCAAAGGCGCTCACATCCTTCTCCTCTTCTCCATTTTATCCTCCCAACAACCCTATGAGGTAGGCTAGGCTGAGAATGCGTGGCCGGCCCAAGGTCGCCCAGTGAGTTTTCCACGGAACAAGTGGGGATACTATTCTGACACTCTCAAGCACTAGAGAGCCAGTTTGATACAGTGGTTAAGTATACGGACTCTAATCTGGGAGAACCAGGTTTGATTCCCATGCCTCCACTTGCAGCTGCTGGATGACCTTGGGTCAGTCATAAGTTCTCTCAGAGCTGTTCTCTCCTCGAGATAGCTCTCTCAGCCCCACCTACCACAAAGGGTGTCCACTGTGGGGAGGGGAAGGGAAAGGAGTTTGTACGCCGCTCTGAGACTCCAAGTGAAGGGCGGGGTATAAATCCAATATCCTCTTCCTCCTCCTCTTCTTCTTCTAATGCCACAGTGGCTCTCATGCTCTCCAATGTTATCCCTGTTTATCTGGAAAGAAGATTGTAGGGACCTCCCCACCCCCAGGAGATCTATTAAGAAAAATAAGGGGTTAGCATGGTGTACTGGTTTGCAGGGGTGTCAAACGTAACTCCCAGGGGCAGAACTGACCTGTCCAGGACTCTTACCCGGCCCGCAAGCAACTGGTATGTATGGAAATGTAAGGTGCTCCCCCTTTATTGTGGCTTTTGTGGGCTCCCTAGTAAATCAATTGTTTTCACTGCTAGGAATAAATTGCTTTTGTTTGTATTTTGTGTGAACACTAATATTGTTAATTGGGTTTGCCTGTGTCTTTTATAAAGTTTATATCTCCAGATTACCTGGCTTTACATTTTATGGCACACATGGCCCAGCCCGACAAAGTGACATTTATGTCTGATCTGGCCATCGTAACAAATGAGTTCGATACCTCTGGGTTAGAGTGTTGGACTTGGATCTGGGAGACCCAGGTTCAAATCCCCACTCGTGCCATGGAAGCACCCTGAAGGACCTTGGGGCCAGTTGCCAGTCACACACTATGGGCCTCACCTACCTCACAGGGTTGTTGTGAGGATAAAATGGAGGGAAGGAGAACAATGTAAGCTGTTTTGGGTCTCCAACGGGGAAAACACAGGATATAAATGAGATAAATAATAAATCTGCATATTGGAGAAGGAATTAAGTCCCTTCAAAAGAAGGAATTATAAGCAAAATACTTGGAACAGCAGAGATGGGCAATTTAGTTCAGTTCTGAGAGGACATAAGGAAAGAAGCTTTGAGATTACATGGTCAAAACTTTATAAATGGATGGAAGAGAACAATAATTAAACTTTTTAGACATATAACCAAAACAGAAGAAAAGATGAACTATATATTTAACTATATCCAACTATAACTATAAGGAAGGGAAAAGCTAAAAATAAAAACTGGATAATGTATGCGGTTACTAACTAGGAAAAACAATGATGTAAACAAAATCCCCGGTTTTATGTTTGTATGTTTATATGTTTTGTTTGTCTTTTATAAAATAAAAATTATTGAAAAATAATAATAATACATTTGCATACAAGTTAGAGTAATATAATTTTGTTTGTGTGTAACATTTTTAAAGGGGGGGGAGTCATCTTCCTTTCGGGTAAGCATGAGTAATTGTTCTCAACCCCGTATTCTTGGTATCATTTCATGCGGATGATGCTGGGGTGAAAGCTATATATATATATAGTATTTATCCCCCCCATTGACCAAAGACTGTCTCTCCCCTCCCCCCACTTTATGATAACAATATTAAAACAAATCACAGAAGATAAAAATCAATCAAAGTCAGCAGCGTCAACGAGTACATAATGCATAGGACGAGAGAGAAGCCAGGAGCGCTTGAGTCATGTGCAACCGAGCATTGAATGTAGGAAGAGGTTTTAGGAAAGGAAGTCCAGTCCGGATGCTGTGGGCTACAGGCAAACCTGGAGAAGCTCACCTGCCGGAAAATGAGATCCAGCAGAAGAGGGTTATTGATGGTGTCCTTGGGGTAGAAAACCTGCAAGGAAACAGACCAGAAGATGGAAGATTATTCACCAGGGGAAAAGACGATCTTCTCCAGGCAGTGTTGCATGCAAGTCAGGGAGACAGGATGGTGTGGTGGTCAAAGTGGCTCACAAGGATCCAGGAGAGCCAGTTTCGTGTTGTGGTTAGGAGCGCAGACTCTAATCTGGGTGAACCGGGTTTGATTCCCCACTCCTCCACGTGCAGCTGCTGGTGTGACCTTGGGTCAGTCACAAGTTCTCTCAGAGCTATTCTCTCAAGGGCAGTCCTGAAAGCACTCTCTCAGCCCCACCCACCCCACAGGGTGCCTGTTGTGGGGAGGGGAAGGGAAAGGAGTTTGTAAGCCACTCTGAGACTCCTTCGGGAAATGAAGGGCGGGGTATAAATCCAATCTCTTCTTCTTCTTCTTCTTCTTCTTCTTCAGGATACCCCAGTTCAAATCCCAGCTCTGCCATGGAAAATGCGCTGAGTGGCCTTGGGCCAGTCATCTGACTCTCAGCCTAACCTACCTCACAGGGTTGTTGTGAGGATAAAATGCAGGAGACGAAAACGATGTAAGCTGCTTTGGGTCCCCTTTGGGAGGAAGGCGGGGAACAGCTGAAGGCAGGGCGATTTTTGGAAAAACAGGAATGCACAGGAACAGAGTTCCAGCTGGCTCCTGAGTTGGCCATGCCCAGCAGGAACTCATTAGCATAATAGGGCACACCCAACAGCAGAAACTCATTAGGATTGGCTACATTCGGGGTGTGTGGTCTAACATGCAAAGGGTTCCTGCTACAAAAAAAGGCCCTGGGTTTTGACAACAAACAAGGTAAACAGAATAAGAAGCAAAAGGTGGGTGTGGCTGGGTGACAACACTTCTGGTGACATGGGGGTGTGGCCTAATATGCTAATGTGCTGTGCTGTCAGGGTGTGGCCTACTATGCTAATGAGTTTTTGCTGTTGGGTGTGGCCTGTTATGCTAATGAGTTCCTGCTGGGCTTTTTCTACAAAAAAAGCCCTGGCTGAAGTAAATAATAGATAAATAATCAGCTGCAATCTTTGTTCCTAATTTTATTTCTAAATAAGAAGAGTCTTGCTGGATCTGATGAGCTATTCCAGTATCTCGCTTCCAACGGAGGAAATTCAGATGCTTCCCAGAAGCCCTCTGTCCGTGCAATGAGGCAGCGGTCCTTCTCAACTTATGTATTTAATACCCTTGCTTTTCTCTCCAGTGGGGACACAGATCAGCTCACAACATATTCTCCTCTCCTCCATTTTATCCTTGCAATTCTAACCCTGTGAGGTAGGCTAGGTGGAGAGAGACTGGCCAAAGTTCACCCGACGAGTTTCCATGGAAGAGCAGGGGATTCGAACCCGAGCCTCCTGGATCCTATTTTGACACCCTAACCACTACACCATCCCAGATCTCTACTTTTTCCTTCTTGGTAGGGAGAAATCCATATCGAGAGGCAGCGGCTAATAAGGGTTGTTAGTCCTATTTTCCTCCACAGATTGAGCAAAACCCCCCTATGGAGCAAATCCATCCCTTCACTACATCTTGTGGCAGGGAGTTCCACAAGTTAATGACACATTATCTTTCCTTTGGGATATCCATGTCATGGGCATGGATGAGGATGAGCTGACATAGCCTGCAGAAACCACAGCTGGCCCCTCTGAAGCAGCACAGGAGGGTAGCTGGCAAGTGCCTGCAACAGCAGTCTTCACACCTGGCCCAGATAAGGGGGAAGAACTGCAAGCTGAAAGTCCTCCTGACTCACCCCCACATGTGACTCATTTAAGGGAGTGACTGCGGCAAAACTTAGCAACCAGGCAAAGAGAGGCCAGGCTACAGGGGAGACGCTCAGCTAGCCCAGAGTTCTAACAGAAGCCTGGCTGACCATGCAGCTGGCTAATTGATAGCAGCGTTTAACTCCACACTCTGGGCAGTACCCTTTGTGGAAGCAACAAGTCAGCTTCGTGCTGCTTGCATCCACTCCGGCTCGGCTCTTGCACCTAGACCTTCAGACCCCCCTGGCTTTGGACTTGGCTCTGTGTTCCTGGCTCCTGACCCCAGCTTGGCTTTGGACTACATTTCTGGTTAGTGATTTTGGACTTGGCTCTTTGTTTCTGGCTCCCGACCCCGGCTTGGCTTCTTGGACTCTGCACTGTCTTCTTGGCCTGTCCTGGGCTCCCTTTGATGGGCACCCCAGCCTGTGACAATCCGCTGCCAATTAGTTTCAGTCAATCAGCATGAAGACAAGAGAGAAAAATCCCTGTTTGCTCAGCTGTCCCGCCCACACAGCATACGATGTTATAAACCACAGTAGTTTTTAAATTCTTCCTCACCAAGATACCGACAGCCTCACTTCAGGACAAATACCTCTTTGCGAAGGTAGATTTTCCAGGAGACGTTGCGGTAAGCGTAGAACTCGCTGCTGACCCGGCGGTGAAGCTGTGTCTGTGCTTGGACTTGTTCATCCTCGGAGCCTAGTTGCCGCAAGACGGGCACTGGGAAGGAATTACTAATCAACAACTATATGGGCAGGGGGTCACAGATGTTTTTCTCCAGAGGTCTACACCTTCCATGATAATAAAGGGGTGGAGCCGCCCATTCCCCACACCATTTCTTCAACCTGGAAAGATCATTCCTTGGGAGTTGCTATTTGCCCCGTTTGGGATATCAGTACAGGGGTCCCCAAACCTTTTTGAGCCTGTAGGCACCTTCGGAATTCTGACACAGAGTAATGGGCACAACCACAAAATGGCTGCCACAGGAGGTGCGGCGAGCCACAAAATGGCTGCCACACAAGATGGAGCCAGCCACACTGAGGAAGCTTGAGTACAGGGGGAGAAGAGGGGTATTTTTTAAAAAATACATTGGAAAAGAGAGGAGTGAGAGAAAACAAAACAAACACTGCGGTAGTGGCTACTGCAAAAACCGTGACCTTTTGTGCACCTGTATTTTGCCTCAGTTTCTGAGTGCGTCCTATTCTTCCATTCTGCATTCCCTTCCACTTCCACTTCCAGTTTGTGTCGAGACTTTTTCTTACTTCTGTATTCGTTTTACAGGGAACTGCATTCAGACTGCTTCCAACACACTGTTGCCCTGCAGTTACCAAAACTCCTTTTGCTACAATTCGTTGTTCTCATCTGCTCTCGAATCGCTAATCCTTTCTAAAGTAGAATTGTTTCTGCGGGTATTTAAGAGCTGCCCACCGTCCTCCCCCGTTTCCGCCTCTCTCTCTTCAGGTTGACGCTCCCTCCCTGTTCTGTTTTCTTTCCCTCCTTCTCCAAAGACAAAAGAGGATGTGTCCTCCCGCTCAGGCAAACTTTAAAAAAGCCAGAGAGAACATAAGAAGGAATCAGCAAATATAAAGGACTAGGGGATTCCCTGCTCCCAAATGTGTCAGTTTTGCATGTGTGGGCCTGAATTTCCCCCTCCCTTCCCTTTTGTAGAATCAGGGAGGGAGGGAGGTGTTGGGTCTGCAGTTGAAAGTTTTAAGAGAAGTTTGCCTTTCTCTTCATCTTAGACAAAGCAGCCAATTAGCTCAAAAAATGCCGGTTTTGCTCGTAGATGCAGAATGCATACAGAATACACAAATAAATAAACTGGAGGGAGGGAAAACAGTGCAGAGGGAATGCGTGTGACTGCGAAGTCACCCCTTAAGGCTCAACTCCTCGGATTCTCCAAAGCAAGCTGCCAGTGCAGAAAGGGCCAATGTCATTTCAGTCTGCATAAGCTAACCAGCTCTTCAGTGACCAATCAGAATCCCAGGTAGGCAAGCATCCCATCTGACCCCAACTCATTTCTAAAAGCACTTGGTGGACGCCAAGAAAGGTGTCAAACCTCGAGCACCACGTTGGGGAGGACCCCTGGAATAGTGGCTCCAGGGGGCTTGGGAAATGGTCTGTGGGGGCGGGGAAGGTTTTAAGCCCTACGTCCCACAGTCCTGCCTGGGGATGACGTCCCAGACACAAAACACTCCAAGAGGGCATCTGATTGACCAGACACATGGGAGATATAAGGGCTTCGTAATGTGTGAAGCAGGAGCGGCCGTGGCTCAAGTGGTACCTGAGTGTGCCGCATGACGGAGTGAGCTCCCGTCTCTGGTTCCAGCTCCTGCCAACCTAGCAGTTCGAAAGCAAGACATTGCAAGTAGATAAATAGGTACCACTTCGGTGGGAAGGGAACAGCGTTCCGTGCGCCTCGGTGTTTAGTCATGCCGGCCACATGACCACGGAGACGTCTTCGGACAGCGCTGGCTCTTCGGCTTGGAAACGGAGATGAGCACCGCAACCCTAGAGTCGGACTCGACTGGCTTTCGAGCAAGGGAGACCTTTACCTTTACCTTTAATGTGTGAACTGGCCCGCTTGGGAGGTTCCAGCCCACAGACTACGACATTGTTGTTTACCTGGGGAGGCCCCAGGGAATGATCTGGGGATGGCAGGCGGCGGGCGAATGGTGGGTGGCACAACCGTCTTAACGTTGGCACTGGTCACGGGCTTCACAAAGGCTATTGTCTCCTTGACTGGTGGTTCCCGGACAGCCTGCAAATGAAATTTACACATTACACAGGGGCGGAGGCATTCATAGTGGCACTTTTTTCCTTCATTCGGCCTCCATCACCACCATTCCAGTGTTCGCTCTAAGTTGAGTTAGTGTGAGATAGCTCACAGTTTTTTAGCCTCCGGCTCAGGAAGGATGGCTCGAGAGAAGGAGGAGAAGAAGGAGAAGAAGAAGAAGAGGAGGAGGAGGAGGTGGTGGTGGAGAAGATTGGATTTATACCCCACCCTTCACTTGGAGTCTCAGAGCAGCTTACAAACTCCTTTCCCTTCCCCTCCCCGCAACAGACACCCTGTGAGGTAGGTGGGGCTGAGAGAGCTCTGAGAGAACCTGCTCTTTCAAGAACAGCGCTGATAGAACTATGGCTTGCCCAAGGTCATCCAGCAGCTGTGTGTGGAGGAGTGGGGAATTAAACCTGGTTCTCCCAGACTAGAGTCCGCGCTCCTAACCACTACACCAAACTGACTCCAGAGCAAACAGATTTACGCAGTAGCCAAATTGCTGGCTCACACCTTTAATGCCAGTAGCTCACAAAGTAGAATTTTTGCTCACAAGACTCCACAGCTTAGAGGGAGCATTGCACCATTCTTCCCTTCCACCTAAGATATCGCAATACACTGTTGCATGGTTACAATTGATCTGCTAGCTCCTCTGAGTTCCCAGCTTTTATTTTGGAAGAAAAACCTATCTCTGGCTCCCTCTAAGGTGTGGAGCCTTGTGAGCAAAAATTCTACTTTGTGACCTGCTGGCGTTAAAGTTGTGAGCGAGCGATTTGGCTGCTGCATAAATTAGTCTGCTTTGGAGCCCTCCTTCCTCAGTTAAGACAAAAATGTGTGAGCCGGAGGCTAAAACACTGTGAGCTAGCTCACAGTAACTCAGCTTAGAGGGAACACTGCACTCTAGCCCTTTTCATTGCAGAGATATAAGGGGTGATGGAATTTGGAATCTGTGACATGCAAACGATGATCTCAGCCACCAGCCCAAATGACTACTATCTATTTATCTAGCTACTTCACCCTGCCCCGTCACCAATGAGCTCAGAATGGCAAAGTAGGGTCAGTTGAGAGACAGAGAGAAGGAGAGACTCTCTGTTGATGTGTCACCCAGTGAGCAGAGCAGGGACTTGAACTCGGCTCCCACAGTCTGAGTCTGACTTCCGAGCTGATCAGTCCCCGCCCCCCCCATGGCACAGATCCTGAGGAAGCGTAAGAGTGGTCTGCCAGTTCTTTTGTGGACGTGAGTTGCAAGGTTTGGGAGTGCCCACTGGGGTCTGGTAATCTTGTCATTTCACCAGGGGTCATTTCGAGGGGGAACAAGCTGGAACGGCGTTCCGGGAGTAACAAGCCCAGGAGTAGGGAATCCGGGCATGCTTGCCTGCCTCCCCTTTCCATCCCTTCTCCAGCCAGCCCACTGCGGCAGGTTGGCTGGGGAGGGGAAGGGCAGGCAGGCAGACATGCCCCCCTTTGTCCCCCTGAGCCGCTCCGCTTTTGAAGGAAAAACTCGGGGAAGTGGGGAGGGATTTAAATGCCGGGGTTCCCTGTCCGATCTTCTCCAGGTGCCCCGCGGCCGCGGGGCACCTGAAGAAGATCGGGCAGGGAACCAAGGCATGCTTGCCTGCCTGCCCTTTGTCAGGGGGTGTGGCATATGCAAATAAGTTATGCAAATAAGTTATGCAAATGAGTTGTGCAAATGAGCTCCTGCACCCCTTTTTCTATGAAATGGCCCCTGCATTTCACCCACCCCCAATTCTGCAACGCGCATTCAGGTCCGTACCGGAGCCGCCTGAGGAGGTTCTGGTGTTCCTGAAATCTGTTTCTTCAAGATCATCAGGGCTTCTTCGTGAGGGTCTGTCTTCTTCACAAAAACCTTCCCACCTTCCCTCCTACGAAGGAGAAAAACGTTGGGAATAGGGCGGCCAAACTCCCCGTGGTAGCTGGAGACCTCCAGCTATGACAGCTGACCTCCAGGCAACGGCGATCAGTTCCCCTGGAGAAAATGGCCGCTTTGGAAGGTGGACTCTATGGCATTCTACCTTCTCCCCTCCACAAACTCTTCTCTCCTCAGGCCCCACCCCCTCAAATTTCCAGGTATTTCCCAAACCAGAGCTGGCAACCTAAGTTGGGAATCATCAAATTCCAAACGTGAGCCCCAGATCAGCCAATCGCAGTCTGGAAACGAGGCGTTCAAGCTGGGTGTGATATTTCTGGACTCACTGGTAGAAATTATGAGGAATCGGGGTTGCCAGGCAGTGCTTGGCAACCAGTGGGAGGGTTGTGGGAGGCACAGTGTCCCCAGAGAATTTTAAAAAATAATAATATATATATCGCCTCATGTACTTACCACAAGTTCATACAGGAAGTGACAAAGGGTGACTCTAGGACTTGACAGAAACTCTATAATAAACCATACAATTTCTGGCGATTTTTTTTTTAGAACTGCGCCAGAAGTCAGCTCTAGGTAAGCCGCGGCAGCCATTTTGTGGCGGGCTCCACCTCCTGTGGCAGCCATTTTGTGGTGGCCATTTTGTTGGCCGCACCCACCACACTGTGTCAGACTTCCAGGTTCAAAAAGATTGGGGACCCCTGCACCACACGTTAAAAACTTTAAACGTATAGTTTGGCACATAATAGGCAAAGAGAGGGAAAAGAGGTACGGGTCTTCTGGAGCCCTCTTCTGACCTAGGGTTCCCAACCCCCAGGTCCGGTGGGGGCTTCCCTCCACCAAGGACCAGCTGGCCGGTGGGGGGAAACCCCTCCCCTAAACAGGGTTTTATGGTAGCCCAACATGATGACATCTCCCAGAAGTGACATCATCTTCAGGGACATCGCGTGGGGATACTCTGGTATTTGGGCAAACTTTATAGTTTTGAGGGTGAAAAAACCATAGAGTTTTGCCCAAATACCAAAGCATCTCCGCGCAACGTCCCTGACACAATGATGTCGCTTTTGTGTGATGTCATCAAGTCGGGGACATTACACAATGTCCCCGCCCACTCCTGGAACGCCCCCCAATTCCCCCCGCCAGAGGAACAAGGAGACCTGGCAACTCCACTCTGACCTGATGGGCTCTGGGACCCGGACGGGCTGCTGGTACTGTTTGATGATGTTGCGTATATTCTGCGTCGGCTCCGGGATGTGTTCTGAATTCAGCTTGGAGTGCCTCACCAGCTCGCCAGCACGCATCCTGGAGGCGGGATCAGTGCCGGGGGCTGGGGAGAGAAAAAGCAACAGGATAAACAACAACAGTTTACCCCCGAGTTTCAGAAGCTGTGAATCATGATCACGAGAGGGTTGCCTCAGTGCTTAGTTCTTATGGCCCATTCTTACACGCGCAGGGAAATGCTGATTGCCACTTTGGGGTCAGGAATCATTTCTTCTCCAGGCCAGTTTGGCTGGAGATCCTGGAGGATTATTTGTCATCTTCTGAGCACGGAGCAGGGGTCACTGGGGGTGTGGGGGGGGAGGTATTTGTGAATTTCCTGCATTGTGCAGGGGGCTGGACTAGATGACCCTGGAGGTCCCTTCCAACTCTATGATTCTATGAACTCCAAATAGAAGGACACTTTACATTTAGTTCTGTGATTATTTTTAAAGGCCTTTTAAAACTTCCTTTTCCAATTGCAGCCGCCAGGACTGCTTTGTTCAGGAGAAGAATGGATCTTTATACCCACCATTCCCCTACAGAAAAATAAC